AATCTTGTGTAGCCTGTTACCCAAACAGGAGATATTGCTGCATGCTGCTTGGGGAATTGGGGAAACGTAGAACCCCGGGAATGTTCAGCGAACGCAATGAATTGATTGCTGAACTCTTTCTAGACCCTTTTATCTATGGATAGAGATAAATTTGTTGTGATACAAGAAAAAAAAAGTGCCGTTTCCAAGTTCGCCGGGCCTGCCGCCGCTTACGCACCAACTGCGCAACAGGTGCCACGCCCCCATGTCTTCCAGGAATTCCCGCTCGTCCGCTTCCTCCTCCCGACTCGACATCGTCGCTGATGATGATGACGGTTCCGGAGCCAGCCACGCGTCTAGGGAACACTCCTCCTCTCCGAAAAAGCTCGCCAGGTCGGGAAACTCCGAGATGTCGCCTTCGTCGCCGGCAGTTGCAGCTCCTCCTGCTGATATCCGCGCCTGGAACACATGCAGGGTTGTGTCAGGAGGAGGATTGCAGCTGGCGGCCGATAAAAGTGTCAAAACTTGACCCAGCGCTATGGAATGGTTGGTTATAGTGGGGGCCATGACGACAACCTTGTTGCTGCCAAAGTTGTTTCATCATGAACGGTACACATGCTGTGTTAGCATCGCATCTGATCTACTGTAGAGGCGAGGGAAGGCTGGATCGGCGACATGGATACCGTTATGTGGGCCCCGAATGGGATTATGTAACGTAAAACTGATGTAGAAGGCGAACGCACTAGAAGAATGTTGGAATGATGCAGAATCGGAACACCTGAATCATGCAAATGCCAGCGCTGCAAATGCTATTCTCACACATGTACGATGGACGTGACCATTCTTCACCAAAACGCCTGTCCAAACGACAAGTCTACAGCAGTAGACTGACTACACATCACATTGACGCAGGCAGCACAAACTACTCCCTCCCTCACAAGACCTAAAATACCCTTCATTCTTGGGATTGCATCAAGCATCGCATCATTGCCAAGAAGCAATGACGGACATCTGGACCGTCTAATCTTCGCGCGGCTGCTGCTTTGTCTACAAGTTTGGTCGTCCCAACAGAGAGGTGGGTACACATGCGAGGCAATGGCACACACACATGAAGGGCGGACAGATTCCGTCAATATTTTCAAATGCAATTTTCAAACCACATGGTATCGAACAACGATAACGATATCCTCTACTTTCCTCCGCCCCGCGCGACTGAGACGCCCTACGCGTTGCTTTCTTGCGCGTCTACGAAAGCTCTCCATACCTCGCTGTTGTTGTCGTTGCTGTTGTTGCTGTTGTCGGAGTTCGGACCGGCGATCAGCCTTCTCAAGCAGTATGAGCGCCCGTCATAAGAAGTGAGCTTCTTGGTGCTCCGCCTCTGCGTTGTTGCTGCTGCCGCTCCGGCCACGTCATTGATGAAGTACTCCCACTTTGTGACGCAAGAGAAGTCCTTCCAGTCGTCGTGCTCGCAGCCAACAGCAGCTGTGCGTGAGCCCTGCTGCTGATTCTCGGACATTCTACTGCTGTACCTACACTCGTGATGTGGACATCTGTTGAATGTAAAAATCGCCCTTGCTGTAGACTGCGTGTTCAAAATCTCTCTGGAGTGTGCAACCCTAGTTCGCAATTGAGGCGTGCAAAGACCATAGTCGTGAGCAAGGAGGAACGGCTTGTTTTGGTCGTACTTGCTGTCCTACTGGGCCTTGCATAGACAACACAACAAACCATGCACGAGAAGCGTTGATGGTGTCCATTGAAGGTACCCGCATGTTCTGCATTCGTAATTGCGGGGCCCCTGGGAGAAGGTGCAGGCAACGCCAGCAACATCAACCACGAACAACAGCAGTGCCGTGGTCGTGGGTGCCGTGGTCGTGGGTCATTGTGGTGAAAACGTGACATTCATTGCACGCTCCGCTTGGGTGGCCTCGCCTCCGCCTTCCACTTCCTGTTGGAGCTCTTCTGTGCTTCAGGTGATAAATCGAATACTTGTACGATATATATCCCATCTCCACTGCAACACGTACATGCGCCGACATTCAAGTTTGTGGACATCGACCTCTGTACCGACCGAGAGGTACCACCTGCACGGTCGGCGATCGTGTGATCTAGTGTTGTTTGTGCATCTCTCCCTTTTTATCATATGACGCTATCTTTTCTGTCTCGAAACTACAAACGTATTGGTTTAGTCTAATTATTCATGTAGAGTATGAGACATCAAGGGAAAGTTTTCTGAGGTACATCTGCAATTGTCGGAAGGCAAACAAAATAATAATATTACTACTGCTGTACATGCAAGTATGCGGTAGTTCTGGTGCAGCACGAACTGCGGAGCGATTGCACTTCTTATTTGCGTACCGTAAGGCATCCAACCGCCCCCCCTAGTGTCCTTTCGGTACACCAACTTCGACGTACTGACCAACTCTTTCACGATACTACTCCTATCAGTCTGCTCTCCTTTCTCCGAATCATATGAGCTCCACGGAGAAAGGAGAGCAAAATGGTATTACAGTAGGAGTATCGTGAAATCCTACAAGCTGTAGGAGAGCCGGGTACGTGACTGAGGTGTCTACAGTGAGCAGGCAACAGAGTTAGCCAGCATGATGTCGAAGCTACTGGTTGTCCCGAAATGACGCCAGGGGAGGCCATATGTTTACCTTACGGTACGCGAATGCAACCGCTGGCGCTCGCTCCGCTAAGTGGCTGGGTACCCCGCCGACTCGTGGCAGTCTCTGGCCGTCTGTTTCATGGTGTCCGACCCGAGAGACTGAGCTCCTTGGGTGAGGTTGGTGGAATGGTTCTACCAGAGGGATCCTGACGCACATGGTGGAACGAGCACCAAGTTCCCGGAAGTTCGCCTCCACGTCCGCCGACACCGCACCTGCCACGTCGATTGCAGCGAATATGACGATGCCGTCTCGGCACAGTTTCGACAACAGAGCCGCGGCACTCGGGGCTGGCGACGGTGTGGGTCAATCGATGGCTGGTCCTCTCTCCCCCTACGGAGCAGCGCCTGCATCAGGCAAGCATTGTTACGCAGTTGGCTCTAGTCAGGCAGCCAATCTCGTCGATAGATTTCGTTAGTGATGTTTGGAAGGTGCTAAATATGTTTTTTTTTAAGACCCCGCTGTCGGACGCTTGACAACCCGTCAACTCACCAATCTTGCGATAGAAACGGCCACGAGTGTTGTACATGTCCAGTCTGGCGCCATGCAGCTTAAGCCCGACCGGTGCGCATCAGTGGACCGTACATGACTCTCGCCGACACCCTTTCCACCCTATTGCGTGGGATTCCTGACGGACTTCGCTCATGATTGTTTTGTGGGCCAGCCAACTGCCGACGCCGTCTCAGCTCAACCTCATTACGGATGAGGTTGTTCGAGAAGGAGTACATTACATGAAGCTACTTTCATTTACGATTGGATTGCGCTTGTTTTGACGGGAACAAGCGTTGACGGGAGGTGCTATCGATAACGCTAAAGCCACCCTCGCAGCGCATGCTGACGCACTCCACGAGCTTCCCGAAGCTTCACATTAGTGTCGCCCATGCCACACCCTCGTGTCCCGGGAAGTATTGTTTTGGCCGAAGCTGGTACGCCGGCAAATGAATGCGCTACCCCGCGCCGCTCGGGTAACGCTGTTACCAGCTGTTTTGCACGTTTTCCTGCACGGCTCCTCTGCCTCCTCCGGCTCAGCAGTGGCGGTGGGTAAACCTCCCATGATATCCAGCATATTTTTCATTAGTTCCACAGCCGCGGTGCTGCCTACTCTTCTCGTTGGGATTGCCGTCCAGGGCTTGGTCAATATCGGCTGTCGAAGCTGCTGTTTGTTCCAGCGTGAACCGACTTGACTCTCGATGGCGTTGGTTCTGGCGTTCATCTCGAGGTTTTCCTCCTCCTTGGCCCACGTGATAACGCGCGTTTTGGGTACCCCCGGGAGACCCTTGCCTCTAGATACATAGATGGGGTCCCCACCGAGTTGCCGTTCACGAAGAGGGCTCTCTCGCGTGGATGGTGCCGTCTTCACCTCTAACCTGATGGTGTGGCCTGCTCTCTGTCCTGCGATACCGGACCTTTCGACCGCGAAACCAGGCTCGGGTGCAATTGGCATTTTTTGGCACGCTCGGGACCATTCTTTGCTGCCAGCAACTCGTCGATAGCTTCCTCCCGCTGCCAGTGGATCTGCTGCCAACAAGCCACGGGGGCCACAGCACCAAAACCACCACTTAGCATTGGTCTGTGAGGAGGTAGCGTCGGCGCTGGCAACTTCTGACATGACACAATGAGTGTGCGTGTGCCGTGGTTGTGGCTACGCAGTGCGTAGACACACATCCCGGCTAGTAGTTTTAGTTTTCCGTACCATCAATTTCGCGGGCTCTTGTTCGTTTTGGTATTTCGCTGATTTTTTCGAATTCGCCGACATCTGCCTTTGGATTGTGTGTGTGCTTTGCTACGGATCCTGTGTCGTAGATCTGCTGGAACGCGTGTAGGAATAAACCGCTGTGGTGTTGTTCAGTCATATCGATCGCAACTTCGTTGCGTTGAGAGCCCTCCGCGTTCATCTTCAACTTCTATTCGAGAGAATCAATCGTTGACTCGCCCGCTCATATGTTGTGACTCGTTGGTAGGTTTGACCATCGACGCAGCGGTTCGTGCCGTGATGCCCGGCACCCTCTCTCCCTGTCTTGCGATCTTGTTCGTCATCCAGACGAACGGCGTGGGTAACGAGGCTAAGCACACACACCCGGTCTATTTTCAAGAGGATTGTGCCACTACTTGCGTGCGCAACTGCAACAATGCCCCCCGACGACCCCGCAGGAAGTTAGAACCGGAGGTTGCAGCAGTATCACTTCCATCCTATGGGACCATGGGCATCCCGCGATCAGCAAGAGCAGAGAGCGAAAGAGGAAGCTATCTCGAACTTGCAGTCCGCTTACGTCCGTCTAGCCCCCTCTCCCCTCGAGGGCGTCGGCGTCTTCGCTATGAGGGATATCGCCGAGGGCGTGGAGGTGATGCGGTGGGATTGGTGAGTCTGCCGACGTGGAGAGGCGGCAACGCAACGGCAGATTTTTTCACCGTTGTCACTGAACGGAAGAAAATTGCGGATGCAAAATCCTGACCAATCGTAGCCCTTGTGCGGTGTTGGGGCTGCTCTTTAGTGGTTATTTTTTGTCAGAAGATGACGACCACAACCACATCGCGCGGCACGTCACACCACACCCTCTAGGGCGTTGACGTGTTCACCTCGAGGTGATGCGGCAGGAAAGCAAGGCTGTTTCGAGGGCTGCTGCGAGCCCGGGAAGGGGCCTGTCTCGCGACCGAACGTAATTTGCATATGACTCAATCGTGCACAATGTCGGCTACCAAAGAGGCGCACACGCCCACCCATCGGATATTATAGCTGTAGAGTGAGGGAGAGTCCCGAGCACTGCCACAACTGTGCCCGCGAGACTAAATTTTGCTGCATGCCGTGCCCCATGCCCCGGCTCTACGTTCGTTCCATACACTCGAGTATTTTGGAAGCCGGTTTTTGGTAAGTGGCGCCAAGTTCCCCCCCACCGCCCTCGTAAGGTAGTTGGTTGGTGACCACGGAAGGCGCCCGCGTCAGTTGGGCCAGTACGGCAACAACAACAACAACAACAACAACAACAACAACAACAACAACAACAACAACAACAATGACAATGACAACGACACATGCAATTATTCGCCTCTTAATCGCACCTCCTTGCCCCCGGCCACCGCCGGTGTCTGTCAATCGCCACACCCGAAGGCATAAGTACCCGAGTGTTTTCATCCCAGAAGAAGAACTACGGGAACGGGTCCCGAAAGAGGTCTTCGATCAGCTACGGTGAGCTCGCGTGCCAAAGTCGATCCGCTCACAAGCGCTTTTGTGGAGGTGATCGCTAACGCGCCCTGAAGGAAGCGGTAGTGTGTTGACGTTTTTCTCCGAGTTTTCTCTCACCTCTTTCATGAGTGTTGCACTCGGGAGTGACGTGGATTGTCACGAAGCCTGAAACGTCTTCACTGGGATACTCCCTGGCTCGGATGGGACACGCCATATTTTTGCAACTTTTCACGGTGGCAGTGTTGTGCTAGCTAATGACTGCGTGTGGAGTGGTCTCATCCCCGCAGAATTGATAGGCACGGCCCCGACGTGACACCAACCAAACTTGGTAATGTTTTTCATGTTTTTTTTGTGTATGACGTGGCATATAAGGAGGATTTGGCACGTGGATCAGCACGGACAGGTGGCCACCCCGCTCGACTTCACTTCGACGCTGAGTTACATCAATTTCTTGAACCATTCCGATCAGGTACGGTGTGATCGAGACCCCGGTGAGGGGTGGGGGCATGAACGGACGAGTCCGTTTCAAAGTGTATGGAACTGTTGGGGACCACGCACGTTCATGAATGATGTTCTCACCACGCCAACATCCTGTGAGAATGAGTGTGTTTCTGCGTAGCACGGCAGTCTGGAGTAGGGGTTGCATTCCCGAAAGATTGTCCGTGTACGTCAGGCGGGCTTCCTCCTTTTACCTTGCGCCTTCTCTTCAATAAATACGTGGAGTTCGCCTCTGTCGAGATAGGAACGCCGGACACCTCGTTCTCCTTGTCGATCGTGTTAATCCCCTGTAATCCCAACCGAAGTCGCGCATTTGGTCGAGGTCTGAATTGATGCAATCATATCGTGCCGAACGTTGTCTGTCCAACGAAGTACGGGCCGATTCGTTGCTCCCGGTTGGTATTTACACGGAATCCGTTTGTAACTCCGAGGGTCGTCTTGGCGGGCGAGCCTCGTGAAACGATGGGTATATCAACTTGGATACCTTCGGCACCATCAGTTTCCTCGCAAAAGGTTCCTTGGGCGAAAGATACAATCTGCAGCTGCCCCAATCTTGGTTGGTACACATCCGCCTTGTTCTTGACCAATGTTTTACTCGCATCCAGCACAAGACGGCTTCTCCAAGGTTCTCGGGTGTCAGCTACCTTCTTCATGGCACTCAGTTCCAACCACCGCCGGTTCGCACTTTCCCCTGTCGACCCGCCGCGCGGTATCTACGTTTGTTCCCTCTCATCAGCCAAATTTGTCGTTTGGGTACTCTAACGGGGGCTACGTGACGTCGAGGACCGTGAAGCGAGGAGAAGAGCTGTTCATCAACTACGACCGGGATTACTACCCGGGGTATACCGCTGGCTTTCGCGCCCGCGAGTCGTCTGCGGGCGACACCGCCTAGACACAGACTGCCATTCACGCCACGGGTAACCCAAACCCATGCTAGACAAGTAAGGCTTCTTAATTTAGACGGTGTTTTTGTAGTAAAACATCCGTGGCCTACCTACGCCCTTTCGATATGTTAGATATGTGGTTCTCCCGATGATTTTTGGTATAAGGCTAGGGATGCGTTCGGGCGAAAGTAACTGCCAGCACGATGTGTTACATCATTTTTCTTGCCGCTGTGCTCGTTTGCGCGCTCGTTAATCACGCCCTCCTCTCTCCTGTTTTCCACAATAAGCGGGTGTTCGAGTCTTTCCGAACAGAGCACGATTGATGTGCGTCTGTCTGTGGAAGACGACAACAGTCTTGCGTAACTACACAGCTATGTTTGAAATTTGTCGGCATGACAAATGCACTGTATGGTACGTCGAGGCAGCGCCCACCCAACTTACTGGAATCTTGGAGACCATTGGGGGTGATCCATCGATACGATCAGGCTACGCGCACAAAGTGTACGTCGTCACTGCCGCTGCGCCCAAGGGTGCTGCACGAATCAATGTGTTAGTAAACGGACTGCTTGACCAACAGAGTCAACACAGATGTCAACACGCAAGAGAAAATAACCTACTTACACCACTTTTTAACAAACCCCCCAAAAGGGCAATGAGCCAACACCAAACAAACATTGTTTGGGCTTGAAATGACTACGCGGCCATCGTGAATCCCCCAAAAGCTTCCGCCTCCAGCCCGATCGCAAATAGCACACAAGCAAACACGTCGTACACCACGAGAAAAAAAAAAGTGTAAAACCCAATCAACGAACCGAGAGTGTCAAAACTCGACGTTCAAGAAACATGTGAAGACATGGAGCACGCGGGTCCAACTGTCGATCGCCGAAGGACACCGCTCTTGAATTTCAGCACTGATGTATCGGGCAAGGTGGTCATACTACCCAAAGCCGTGTTTTTCATGCGGGGCTAGATATCTACCTTGACCATAAAAAGAGCACGATGACATGGAGGCTACAGACGTCATGGCAAACTACTTCGAAGGTTGCGCCAGCATCGACACATGCACAACACTTTCCCCCTTTCTTTCAACTATCTCTACTGGCTTCGTTTCCCCGTTCACTGTGACCCTGCTTTGTTTTGGGGTGCACCTGTAACAGTTACGCCGAGGCCGCCGCCCTGCGCCCCTTCAGTGTGCCCGTAAGCATTCCCGAACACATGGACACCTTACCCCCCCCTCCCCAGCTGCCGAGAGCTCCATCTTAACGTCACACTCGACCCTTACGCCCCGCGCCTCCATCACGCACATTGGCAACCGTCGCCACATCCGCGCACAAAACAGTTGCGGTCAAGTGAGTTACTACACCAGCGTGGAGTCGTCGACAAAAAACACCTTTTGTATAAACCCTACAAACTTCATAAATGGAACAAGCCGGGGAAATAGTTTTTACTTCTCTGCCATCATAAAACGGATGACGCCCGCACCCCACTTACCCAAAAGCACTTTTCATAAAACGCAAGCATGCCTGAGAACAAGACAAAGAACAAAACAACATCGACAAAAAACAGCAAGGACACCAAAAACGACAGCAACATCACACAATACGGCCGAATGGCTCTAGAAAAGGATAGTTTCCCGCCCAAGAGGCAAGATGTGAACAAAATATCGACGTGCCAAACCCCTACAAATTTTAATCCGAACGAAAAAAATGCCGGAAGAGCGGGCGAGTGGGTGAGCATGGTTTAGAAGTTGGCCATCGCAAGCCAAGCAAGTGATGAAAAGGGCAGTCAGCCTCTCCAGAGGGCGTGGCAGAAGAGGCGGTACAGCTCCACGAGCGGAAAGGTCACTCAAGAGCAGCAGTAATTCAATTGCTCTAGATTGAAGAGCCGCTCGAACCGCTTAAAAAACTTCCCTCTCCTTTACACCATTATCTTTCAGGACTCTTGCGGGGTATATCCCGTCACGCCGCGCCCGCCGTAGCCGTCCTTGTCCCTCTTCCTCCCGGACAGACGAGAAAACGCCTTCCGCACCCCTTGCAGCTTGCCCCTTACTGTTCCCGTTCCCGTGGGCGTGCCGGCCGCCGCCTCCGTCCGAGCGCTACTGCTACGAGGTACAGTACTAGCACTAGCCGGGGATTTCAAGGCCCGAGCACTACTGCTACGAGGTACAGCACTAGCCGGGGATTTCAAGGCCCCGGCTTTCGCTGCGTTAACCTCCCCGCCACCCGCCGCTCTTTCGCGGTTGCTCAACGCCGGTGCGTGCGCCTGTTTCACCGACGGGGGAGGTGGTGGGGTCGCCAACGCTGTAGACCCCCCTCGAGACGTTACGGATAGCTGGGACAGGTTGGGCGAAGACATCGGGGGAAGCACGCCAATTGAGGGTTTGCCCGTGGTGACCGGTACACTGGGCGGCTTGCTTGCGCTGGTTCTCGTGATCGGTTCGAATGCGCGCAGGTTGCTCCTGGTGCTGGTCCTGCTGCTGCCACCGCCGCTGCGGCCGATCACTAACCTATTTTCACCGCTGTAGAATGTACGGGTTTCAACGGGAACTGCAGAGACAGTCGCCAGGGGTGCCTGAGCAGTACCAGCCGCTCCTGGAACGTTCTTCGCTTCCAATACAGCCGGCTGATGCGACGCAACTGCAGCGGCGCGTGCCGCCGGAGACAACTCGCCGTGAGCCGAGAAAAAGTCCTCCTCGTCGTCCTCGCCCCCGAAGCTGCTCTTCGAGCAAGGCGCCACCACTGGAGGAGGCGACAACAGCGGCATCCGCTGGGGTGGTTGTCGTACCGAAGCGCGCGCCCCTTTGCTCGTCGCCCGCGTCTCCGTCGCCCGCAGCAGCTCGTCGACACGGCGGTGCCGTGGGGACGAATCGATTGATCCTATTGACGAACAACTGACGATCGGGCGGGCGCGAGAGGTCGACTGGACCGCAGGTTCCGGCCCCGAGCCGGGAGCAGTCGCACCCACCGCTGTGGTCACAGTCTGCAACTCCGCTCCCTCCGGCAAAGGTTGTGCTTGGGGGAACGAAAGGGCGCCGCCTGCGACGCTGCGATCAACAAAAGCAGCAGGAGCCACCACGGCTGGAGCCGCCGGATCCTTCCCGTTCGGGACGATCCACGGGCGGGTGCCGATGTCATCGTCATACAGGTCGTGGTTGCTGCGTCGATCGGTACTATTAGGCGAGGCCAGAGCGTGATCGTCCACATCGTAACCAGCTCGAGGTAACTCTCCCAATGCCGTTCTAATTTCGACCGTCGCTTGGGTTGCCTGGGGATTCGTCCCCGTAACCGTAGCCGCAGCCACCATTTCCTGCAAAGGAGCGCGTCCATTCTCCTGCGTAGCACCCTCCTCTTCTCCTGTCGAATCCGTGGTCACCTCCGCAGCAGCAGCAATGGCAGCAGCAAGCGTGCCCACAACCGCATCATTTCCAGTCGCTTCTCCATCCACAACATGTTGCGTTTCCTGGGAAGCACTACCTTCCTCTTGCGACAACACTTGCTCCATGGGTGCTCCCCTGTCCTCAGACTTACCCTCGAATGCTTCTCTGGGGCTATCCACAACCTCGCGTGCTGCCTCTTGGCTGCCGCTGTCAACAACTCCACCTTTCGCAATGGCAGCAGCAAGCGCGCCCACAACATCTTGCGTTTCCTGGGAAGCGCTACCTTCCTCTTGCGGCAACACTTCCTCCGTGGGCGCCTCCTTGTCCGCAGCAACCTCGCTTGCTGGCTCTTGGCTGCCGCCGTCAACACCTTCACCGTTTGCAATGGCAGCAACAAGCGCGCCCACAACATCTTGCGTTTCCTGGGAAGCACTACCTTCCTCTTGGGGCAACACTTGCTCCATGGGTGCTCCCCTGTCCTCAGACTTACCCTCGAATGCTTCTCCGGGGCTATCCGCAACCTCGCGTGCTGCCTCTTGGCTGCCGCTGTCAACAACTCCACCTTTCGCAATGGCAGCAGCAAGCGCGCCCACAACATCTTGCGTTTCCTGGGAAGCACTACCTTCCTCTTGCGGCAACACTTGCTCCGTGGGCGCCTCCTTGTCCGCAGCAACCTCGCCTGCTGCCTCTTGGCTGCCGCTGTCAACAACTCCACCTTTCGCAATGGCAGCAGCAAGCGCGCCCACAACATCTTGCGTTTCCTGGGAAGCACTACCTTCCTCTTGCGGCAACACTTCCTCCGTGGGCGCCTCCTTGTCCGCAGCAACCTCGCTTGCTGCCTCTTGGCTGCCGCCGTCAACAACTCCACCTTTCGCAATGGCAGCAGCAAGCGCGCCCACAACATCTTGCGTTTCCTGGGAAGCACTACCTTCCTCTTGCGGCAACACTTCCTCCGTGGGCGCCTCCTTGTCCGCAGCAACCTCGCTTGCTGCCTCTTGGCTGCCGCTGTCAACAACTCCACCTTTCGCAATGGCAGCAGCAAGCGCGCCCACAACATCTTGCGTTTCCTGGGAAGCACTACCTTCCTCTTGCGGCAACACTTCCTCCGTGGGCGCCTCCTTGTCCGCAGCAACCTCGCTTGCTGCCTCTTGGCTGCCGCCGTCAACAACTCCACCTTTCGCAATGGCAGCAGCAAGCGCGCCCACAACATCTTGCGTTTCCTGGGAAGCACTACCTTCCTCTTGCGGTAACACTTGCTCCGTGGGCGCCTCCTTGTCCGCAGCAACCTCGCGTGCTGCCTCTTGGCTGCCGCCGTCAACAACTCCACCTTTCGCAATGGCAGCAGCAAGCGCGCCCACAACATCTTGCGTTTCCTGGGAAGCACTACCTTCCTCTTGCGGTAACACTTGCTCCGTGGGCGCCTCCTTGTCCGCAGCAACCTCGCTTGCTGCCTCTTCGCTGCCGCCGTCAACAACTCCACCGTTCGCAATGGCAGCAGCAAGCATGTCCACAAAATTTTGCGTTTCCTGGGAAGCGTTTCCTTCCTCTTCCGGCAACACTTGCTCCGTGGGCGCCTCCTTGACCGGAGACTTACCCTCGAGGGTTTCTCCGGGGTTATCCGCAACCTTGCTTGCCGCCTCTTGGCTGCCGCCGTCAACAACCCCACGGTTCGCGTCCCAGGAGCCAGCGTCATCGTCATTCGAGGCAGCAGCAGCAGTAGCAAAGGGCTCGATGACTGCCGTGATCGATTCACTCAAACTCGACGCTTCCATAGCTACGTCGTCCTCAGTGCCCTGCGTGCCCGACGTCGCTCCACCGCCGTCAACATCAGCGCCACGCTCACTGTTACCGTCAGCGGCCGATTCATCGACATTCGCCGCTTCCACCATTACGTGGTCCTCATCATCTTGCGCACCTGATGTCGCTCCGGCACCCTCAATATCAGCACCATCCTCACCGTTACCACAAGCATCTTCGTCAGCAGCGGCAGCATCGACACACCCAGCCGCTCTAGCGGCGGCAGCAATAACACTAGAACCCGCAGCTATTTCGTCCTCGCTCGAGGCCGCTACGACCGGCACCGCAGCAGAGGGCGCGCGGGGTTGATCGGGCACGCGGAGAAGCCGAGCCACGTCTTGCAACGCCGGTCTAGCGGTCGGATCTTGCGCCCACAGAAGGCGCACGAGGTCGCCGAAGTTATCGTAGTCTTCGAGAGCGGTCGGCGCGAAGGACAAAGCCGGCCGTTCGCCTCGGGACACCCGGTTCGACACTTCTTCTAGCGTGAGGCCTTCCCATGGTTGACTGCCGGTGAGCACCTGTTGATATTTAACACAAATGGCCGTGAAAGGCAGAACGATCACAGGGCATCCGCGTCATCGTTGGGATCGAAAATATTTCAAGTACTCTCCGTTGAATTTTCTACAGTATCAGGCGAGAGAAACCCCCAACCTGCTGCTCCTCCGGATAAGGGACTCTATTTATCTGCAGCAGTTGCCTACCCGTCTCTCTGTTCACATCATTCTCAACCATGTCTCAGCAAAACTGTTGGAGCACAAAGGAGCGAGTAATGAGTTCACTTCTGGCTACGGTGCGGCTACCAACCAAGTTTGGGGAGAGAGAGACCGATAGATGGTACGCAGCGACTCAAAACAAAGACTACCGAGATACACGAACAGATAAGGGCACGGAATGGAAACCGACAAGATGAGGCGCCAGGGTACACACCACACAAGGAGACGATGAGGAACCACGACTGTCAAGCAGTATATCGTGTCCAAACATGACTTCGACTATTTCAATTATGGATAGGACAACGGTCAATATGGCGTAAAGCTTCGAGAGCACGCAAATGGAGACCCGAACGCAAACAACACTTCCAGCTGCGACATTCACACCCATGCTCACCTCCCACGCGATCATCCCAAAAGCGTAGGCGTCCGCCATAAAAGCCGCCTTCTTCTTGCCGTCCAAAGCTTCGGCTTCCGCCGCCACACGCGTTTCGGCTGCCAAATCAACGGCCGAAGCACGTTTTTCCTCCTCCGCCACCACAGTCGATTCTTCGCCCGCTACCGCCGCCGCCGCCTCTTGTGCGGCCTTCTGCCTAGCAGCCGACGCAACCCAGGTCTCGGGAGCCGTCCACACACTCCCCTGCGGATCGATCACGCGGGGAACCGCCGCCCCCTTCATCGGCAGCACGTCCCACTCCTCCGATGCGGTGGCGGAGGAGACCATGAAAGACGCGACGGCCTTCCTGGTGTCGGGCAGGCCGAACAAGGACAGCTGACTCGCGCAGAGCAACATTTCGCGGGGAAGGCAGGGCCGCAAATGAGACTAAGCGTCCGCTACTGTCGAGCAAACAGCCATCTGAGGCAGGGCTCAGAGAGAGGCAGGGGGGTTGGGCACGTCGGCCTCACAGTTTTGAGCGCTGACGTCTTGCTCGCAACAATCATGCGAACGGCTACGCTAGCAGCACGTAGTTGCGGCTAGGCAACCATGCGTACGAACCTATACATATTATCAGGAGCTTCCCGCGGTGGGAAGAAGCTGTACCTGAGGCCATTTGCAACTAATGAGGCAGCCAGTCGAAAATACGCCTTGCCGAATCGAAACCAAAACACCAAGATAAAACAAACAGCGAGAATCAGCCAACAGGATTCCACGCAACCGATGCAGCCAGACAGTTGCGCTACCAATCCAAAAGGTGATCCAGTGAAAAAAATCCTCTCTGTATTTACGCCTGTATTTACGCCTGCCCCGTTACGTTACCTTCGCTCTACCCTCCGCATCGAGCAGCACGTTCTCCGACGACAGCGCCCCATGGGACACCCCGCGCTCGTGAAGGCAAGCCAGCCCTTCCGCGATGTCCGCCAGCACCTTCCTGCGTCGCAGGAGCTGCACCGCCGGCGCCTCACCACTGCTAGCAGCGCGAGCTTCCTCCTCTCCCTCGCCCCCCTTAGCCGACAAGTTTTCTTCCACGCCCGCCTCCTCGTCTTCTTCCAACACCTCCGCCGTCTCCTCTCCGGCCGCCGCCGCGGGGGCGGCGCACGCTTTGATCCGGTTGCGAAGGGAGCCCCCCTCAACCATCTCTCCTACCAGAACAAGCGCCGCCGGCCCGTCCTCCTCCCCCTGCTCGCCGCCGACGCCGCCGCTTTTGTGGTGGACGATGCGGAGGGACCCCTGCGTCGAGATCGACTCGTTGCCGTACGTGCGCGCGAGCCGCGCGTGGGGAGGGACCAGGGACGACAGGGCGCGTAGCTCGGACGTGGCGGACCGCCGCAGCAGCTTGGCCGAGGCCGTGGACCAGACGGCGGCCATGCGGTCGGAGGTGTTGATCGACAGCACGGTGGCGGAGACAGGGATCCCCAAGTACTCCGCCGCATACGTCGGGCCGAATGCACCCTGCACGTTGGGGGGGGGGGG